AACCGATGATGATGGTTGTAGATCGCAGTATAAATTATAAAAGGTTCAGGTTTATCAGACAGCGCTGCTACCCGGTCTCTGTCGAATGTTAGTATTCATAAACTGTGTGTCTAAGGCTTTTGTTACAATAAACACTTTTTATTATTATTTATTATTTATTTTAATGTGTAGTTGCATAATTACTTAAAATCTCAATAATAGTTTTCAAAACAAAGAAAGTCTCACTATATATCCCATTAGCACATTTCTACAAACAAACGTACATACATACAGACATCATTAGTTCTATTATGATTCACAAACACTTCAAACCTGTGTTCCCGGCTAATGAATGTGAGCGAGACATCGTTATACGTATACAACAAGAGTGAAAGAGATGACACGAGTTCTCATTGTGTCTACTTCAACTAAAAGGTCACTGGGTGAAAAAGTCGTCGACCGTTCCCGCCAAAAATAGAGAGCAACTGTCACCGCCCGCCATCTTGAATTTATAGGACACTTAGAATTGTGTAATCTGTGTTTTATAATATTTTTAAATGACTTTAAAAAAAGTGCGTTGTCAGTTTGACTTGTATTGTGTATGTAGGTATGTATAGATTATCTCGCATTGACTGAACTGATTTTAATGTAGTTTTTAGAAAAGTGTTTTTTAGACTTAGGAGAAGAATTTAAGTATACTAATTACCCGACTTCAAAAAAGAGAGGGTTTAAAGTAGGTTTTTTAAACTTGGAGCTGCGGAAAACTTAACGGGTTTCCGGGGCTCCGGCTCGAACTGCAGGCGTAGGAACGGGGTGGTTTTTAGTCAGTAAGAGTCTGACACTCCCTCCCGCCTCACCCGGGCGGGAGAAGTCATTGAATGATTTACCCATCTCAAAAAAAAAGATTTTTAAACTTCAACCGATTCATTCGAGCAGGCCAATTCGTGCCGTACTTTAAACGTTAATCAAACTCGTCCTAAGGTCTTATTGAAATAAATGATTTTCACTTTCAACTTTTTTATTTCTTCAAATTAACATCTTATGTTATATTTAGGTCGCCCAATATTTAGGTCCAAAACAATAAACACGAATAATAATACATTTATTTTAATAGTATGTTTGTTTTTCAATAATAGGTACTATATTACAGTCACATTATCTTCTAAGGTTTCATAATCTTATTTAGAATAACTAAATTAATTAACAGCAAGGACAGAATGTCAAATAAAGCAGTTAGCCATCTAATTAGTTTACATGTAACTAGACTTTAAAATCCCGGGATACTAATGCTTTCAAACTACTAAACATAGCCCGGAGGTTTAAGACGCCCGCTTCTCATGCATGAGGGCGAGGGCTCGAAACCCACCAACACACCAATACTACGTACTTTCAAAGATTATTTAGACACCACTGACAAACGGTGATTGAAAACATCGCGAGGAAACCTGAGCTTATAACTTCTAATTATAAGTTTGAAATCGGCAACCCGCATTGAGCAAGCGTGGTAATTAATGCTCAGACCTTCTCCGTATGAGAAAAGGCCTTTGGTCAGCTGTGGCCACTTATAGACTGATGCTTATAAGTTGTGTGATGATGACGTGACAAGACTCGTTCACAACCTCATTTCATAAAAACTCCTCTTCGTGCACCATCATATGTATGTTCATTAACTTAGATGCACAACAGAGAGAGATAAACAAACATAAAAAAGATATATACGGTCGAATTGAGAACCTCCTGGTTTGAAGTCGGTTAAAAATAACTATTTTTGGTTGAGTGTCATGTAAAGCCGAGGCTACACAACAGAAGTGGCTGTCAACGTCGCTCAAACGTCTTCCCTGACATTTAAAAGTGTGGCTACATTGTGTCTGCAAAAATACGTCTATTTTGTATCCAGCTTTTCTTTGAGAAAAATTGTACCCGCTGAATTTTTTGAATGAATGACATATGTCATGAAAGATCTGTGCTCAAAGGAAAGACCATAAGTGTTTTCAAAGATCAGTGTAAAAGTAATTATTACTATTACATGCTAATTTCAAGTGTGGGAGAGCCATGCTTCGGCACGAATGGGCCGGCTCGACTGGAGTGATACCACGGCCGAGCAGAAAACTGATTTGAAACAATCAAAACAAACGCTTGCGTTGTATTTCGTCGTGTGAGTGAGGTTATCTTAAACATAACTTAACTTAAACTTCCATGTCCAACATGGAAGAGGTACCTGTGTCAGATGGGGTGGGAGGAAACGCCCGGGTGTCATCACTGCGTGGACCGCCCTGAGGACACGGTGGAACACACTGTAGCGGAATGCCCTGCGTGGGCTGAGTACCGCCATGCCGTCAGGACGTGGGACGTGATCGGCGATGGTGACCTATCGCGTCCGGCCGGCCCTAGTGCGGGTCATGGGGAACGAGGGGGACTGGGATGCCATCTCCTCCTTTTACGAAGCAGTCATGCTAGCTAAGGAGTCGCGAAGGACACTTCGGGCGTCGGGGATCGCGAGACGATCTCCGGCCACCGTAAGCTTGGGCTGCGTACGGCGAGCATGGGTGGCTCCCCGTCCAACTAGAAACAGACCCGAGCGTACGTCAAAGAGCCATCAGGCCACCACGGATGGTGCCCAACAGGGCCGATGCCGATTCGGAGTCGCGGAGAACCTACTGGGGTACCGGGGCTCCGGCTCGACGTGCAGGAGAAGGAACGGGGTGGTTTTTAGTCAGTAAGAGTCTGACACACCCTCTCGCCTCACCCAGGCGGGAGTAGTTATTCGATGATTTTCCCTACTTAAAAAAAAAAGTGTTCCGTATGTCTATGGGTGGCGCCAATTGCTTACCATCAAGTGATCCGTCCGTGATATGTCGTGGTGAGCCTGAGGTTTAAGACACCCACTTCTCATGCATGAGGGCGAGGGTTCGAAACCCAACAACGACAAGTACCAATGTGACTGTTATACTATGTACTTTCTAAGATTATTTAGACACCACTGACACATCACAATAATTAGCAAAACACACACACACATACACAGCCTTTTTCAAACATACTTAGGTAAGTATACAGCTGGCTCTCGCGAACACAATACTTCTTTTGTCACAACAGTCGGTTAAAAAGTGACAGCGTGTCGGCTCGCTTCCTGAGTAACGTGTTTGATGTGAAAGCGAGCTTGGAGCGAGTTATAGGCGGTGGAGATTTTAGGGAAATACAATTTTTTTATGTTACATTTTGAAGAAATTATATAGCTCATACTGTCTAAACGTAATCAAAAATCTGAGTGCTAAGCATGAATAACTAGCGCTACCTACTGTAACCTATATAAATAAAAATGAAATCTCAGCCCTCTAAACAGATATTCATGTAGCGCGTAGCTTGTAGTGCGTAGTTCATAAGACGTAGTTCATATCGCGTAGCCAGTTGTGCGTAACTCGTAGCTCGTAGCGAATATCTTGTAGTGCGTAGCTCATGACTAGTATACAGTAGAGCGTGGTTCGTAGCGCTAGCTTGTTGTGCGTAGTTCGTAGCACGTAATCCACATCGCGTAGTCAGTTGCGCGTAACTTTTAGCTCGTAGCGAATATCTTGTAGTGCGTAGCTCATGGCAAGTTGATAGCAGAGCGTAGTTCGTAGCGCTTAGTTTGTATCGCGTAGTTCGTAGTACATATCAGCGTAATCCCGCTACGTGTGAACCGTAGACATTCTTCAGCTAACTAGCGAGCAAAAAATATATACTATTAAAATACGCTCGCTTATAACTTACACCCCACCCAACAGAGCGCTGTCTACCCTCTTTTGTTAGCAGTAACCCTACCTACCACCTTTTACATGTAGCCTTACACAATCAATAAAAACTTGCTTTATAACTGTAGATACTTCACTTTGTTACTGTCCCTGTGATATTAGGTCAAGTGTTTACCCTACTGTGTATAGGGACATTATGGTATCATGTTGGGATAGTAAGTCATGGTGGTGATGGCTGAGCAGAATACATTTTGTTTTTTATGGGATAAGTAGGTAAACGAGCAGTCAGATCACCTGATGGTAAGCAATCGGCGTCGCCCATGGACACCTAGAACTCCAGAGGTCTTTTGAGGATTAGGAATTTGAGGATAGTAGGGGATTCAGGGATTGGGAGGCGAGGGAGTAATTGGGCTTCCGGCAACCTCACTCACACGACGAAACACAACACAAGCGATGTTTCACGTCGGTTTTCTGCTCGGCCCTGGTATTACTCCGGTCGAGTCAGTCCATTCCTGCTAAAGCATGGCTCTCCCATACTTAAACCCTTACGATTACCATCCCTACTCTTCTAGTGGGTGTCGCATATCCAAATTAAGGGTTTATACATTCGACATTTAACGGGCAGAGCTATTACCAAACAGTTTTGTTTCAAAATACATGATAGTGAGAAACAGAGAGTTCATCTGTTTTAGCACATACTGGTGTACTGAATATCGCCTGCGTTAGCCGGTATTGTGGTGAGATTGACAGCTGGTCTGCATCTCAATCAAAAATCTTTAGAGATCGATTTTTGACATTCGTTCTTGCAAAAATCAAGGTGGTGCCACAGATTTTTTATTAAGATCTGCTTATTAAACTCGGCAATAAATGATTATTAGGTACCTTCATAACGTAGTTTGACGACCCCGACGTCGTGGTCACCACTTTAGGGAACAGAGAGTATAGTTCCCTAAGTTCGGAAAAGGAGGATCCTCCGACGGTGATCGTGCCTGGCGGGCTTTCTGCCCAACAGTTGTTCGTTGGGATTTTCTATCCGTGTCAATTCGTATGTAAACTTCACATGTGGGATGTAGGATTTTTGTGACGTCATTCGTTGATTTGTTTGAGCTGTCATGCTGTCATTTGACATGTGTCGCCACAGTAGGAATGGGGTAGTATTTAGTCAGTAAGAGTCTGACACTCCCTTTGCCTTTTCCAGGCGGGAGAAGCCATAGGATGATTTTCCCCTCTCAAAAAAAAGACATAAAGGTATATTTTCTGAGACTAATTCATTTTCTTCTTTGTCCCCAGGAATGTCCAGAAGGTGTCGTGCAAGAAGAATCGTTTAAGGACATCTACGCGAAGTTCTTCCCTCATGGAAGTGAGTATTTATCATCATCATCATCATCTTCATATCCAAAAGGCGTACATTCCTGAACATAGACTGCCCTAATGACGTCAGACGTACAGAGCAAACAGTTTTGCATGTCAAAGTCAAAGTCAAAGCATTTATTTCAATTAAACCATAGTTTGGTACTTTTGAAACGTCAACAAATACAAAATAAATAATAGTCTGTCAGTCAGTCCGTCAGTGAAGCTAGGTGCTCATTCCAAAATGTAGATTTGAATGGAGAAGAACAAGCAAGAAACTCCATTCGTTATTTTTTTTTAAAGTATGTTCTACAATGTCTCTGATACATATTTCAATACTGTACGCATATGTAAGAACAATGCAAAGACACGCTTGACGCATTATACTAATAACTTATTAAAATTAAAAAAATAATTAAAGTCCAACATGGTGCTCACATATGCATACTGACAATCCATAGAAATAGTGCTTCTATACAAGAAAAAGGAAACTCTTTGTTTCAATAAAGAAAGAAATGCTCGATGCCATAAATAAACTAGATTGTCTACATTAGAATCAAACTGTTAAATTATGTATTAAATTACTTATTATTAAATTACCTATTATTGGAATTTAACTTCTGACTACATTTGAGTAGACCATTATAGCATTGTAATCATCTTAAGCTATTACACACGGAACATTGGCCCTAGCGAAAATACGCGCAGTGAGACCAGCGAGTCGTCTAGCGACTGACACAAACATAGAAATGTACTGAGCAAGCCACAGAGAGCGGCAACCGGCGAAATGTACCGAACGAATTGCAACGGCGCGGCGAGTGAAACAAATGAATGAATCAGTACGGCGCCAGTCTTATGAAACTTAGAACTAATATTTTTGCATGGACTCCGTAACCTGCGGTAGCCAACAGGAGAACGAAAGTTCATTAAGATATTATTGTTGAATACATTAAAAAAAATCGAAAAAACTAAATCTTGCATGCACACCTACACACACATACACACGTAGGTACATAAAATGAAGTTTCCATATAAAAAAGGAGTTGTATACCTTTATTATTTTTTTATGAGGTTGGCTAATATTTACGAAATCGTCAGAAATTGAAACGTTCAAAAGATCTAAGTTCCGCCTCTGATAATAGCTTTATCTGTGTTCGTGGCGGCAAACGCGTCTGTCCATGGGCTGCAAATGCTGTTAATAGTCGCCCGCCACTCCGTTCGAGCCGCCGATCCCTGTGGCCAGGCCATTACTTGGAGGATCACCGCTTTTAGTGGATGAGGGTTCGACGCCTCGCAAGTACAAATGTGACTTTTTCCAAGTTACATACAACTGGTCTGCTTATTAAATCTACATATGTAGAAACAGATAACATAAGGTGAAGTTTAGTCATCATCCACAGTCTATAAATGCCCACTGCTGACCAAAGGTCTCTTCTCACACGGAGAAGGTTGGAGCATTAATCACCACGTTTGCTCAATGCGGTTTGGTGATTTCAAACTTATAATTAAAAATTATAAGCCTAGGTTTCCTCACGATGTTTTCCTTCACCGTTTGTCAGTGGTGTCTAAATAATCTTATAGTACATATAACTCGGAAAAAGTGACATTGGTACTTGCCGTTGGTAATTCTCATATATGAGAAGCCTGTCTTAAACCTCCAGGCCACCACGACGTGTAAATGAAGTGTAGTGCCAGAGCCGTATTATCCCTAAGGTCTAGGCAAGTGGCTAGGGCGCCAGGTTACAGAGGGGCGCTGCGAGAGGCACGTACCTACCCAACTGCCCATAGAAATATGGCGGCGCCAAAAAAATTTGAAATGTTTGTAGGGCGCTCGTTAAGTTTAAATCCACCTCTGTGTAGTAGAATGTAAAAAATATTATGATTTTTTTAAGATATTATTCTAAGAACGAAGAATAATTATGATGTTTTTATAATAACTATCGTGAGACATACTAAATTAACTAAATATCGCGGGTGAAGCGAGTAGGCTGCGCGACATCGCCGCGACTGCGCACGCTCTGCTCATGAGGAAGGACCCCTCTGTGGTTTGAAACCAGTAGAGCTTTTCTCACTAAATTCACGTGAGTAACCCGCGATTTTTAGTTATTTTAATAATTCTGATATTTTTGCACGAAATCTAGTACAAAAATAAACCAAATTTCATTTTTTTCCAGATTCCGCGCTGTATGCCCACTATGTGTTCAAAGCGTTTGATGTCAACTGCAGTGGTGCTATCAGTTTCAGAGTGAGTATCATTCACCCATTCATCCAATCATCCATTCATTCGTTCACTCCATCTTGATAGTTGAAAGCAGATGGACACCTTCATGTACTTTGTTACGTGTTTCCTTTGATTTTATATAGACTCATATCTCATATAGGAGATTTAATTTAACTGTGGGATATTTAAATGTGGTTTAATTAAATTGTGGGATAGCCATACTTCGGCACGAATGGGCCGGCTCGACCTGAGTGATACCACGGCTGAGCAGAAAACCGACGTGAAGCAACGCTTGCGTTGTGTTTCGTCGTGTGAGTGAGGTTACCGGAGGCCTAATTACCCTCCCCTTCCCCAATCTCCCCAATCCCTGAATCCCCAACGATCCTTAAACTCCTAATCTCCAAAAGGCCGCTAATGCACTTTTAACACCTCTGGTGTATCAGGCGTCCATGGGTGACGCCTATTGCTTACCATCAGGTGATCCGTCAGCTCGTTTACCGGCTTATGCCATAAAAAAAATTATTCAACCAAGTACATTGAAAAATGGCGGACACAGCATCTTGAAACAAAGACTGTGGCACCTGGCTACTATAGACTTACACGCAGAACACACACACATTGACACGAGGGACATCTGTCATATTCTTAAGTCTAGTAACGTTGTAGAGGCTCATATTCATGAGCAGCATTCCGCAACACGACTAGCGTGGCTTGAAACTAGTCGAGTTCCTGGTCAAACAATTACATGAGTAAGACGAAGGTATCAAACGTTTCACGGAAGTTGTAATGTGAAAATTCTACTTAGTTTACGCATTGGAGACAAATAGAATTCTTTTTTATGGTATAAGTCGGTAAACGAGCTGACGGATCACCCGAACGCAAGCTATCGGCGTCGCCCATGGACAATAGGAACACCAGAGGCGTTTCAAGTTACCGGCCTTTTGGGATTAGGAATTTGAGGATTATTGGGGATTCAGGGATTGGGGAAGCGTGGTTAACTGGGCCTCCGGTAACCTCACTCACACGACGAAACACAACGCAATCGTAGTTTCACTATGGTTTTCTGTTCGGCCGTGGTGTCACTCCGGTCGAGCCGGCCCAGCAGTGCCAAAGCATGGCTCTCCCACACTTGAATGAGAGAGAATGACAAAGTTCTAAATATAGTCAAGTATTCAGACAAAGTCAAGTCTAGCCGCTAGTATCTATGTATGTCGCGGAGAACCTAGCGGGTAACCGGGGCTCCGGCTCGACGTGCAGGAGAAGGAACGGGGTGGTTTTTAGTCAGTAAGAGTCTGACACTCCCTCCCGCCTCACCCGGGCGGGTGCAGTCATTCGATGATTTTCCCCCCTCAAAGAAAAGTATCTATGTATAAGTGTAGAAATACGGCAGATCTGTTTGTTTGTCATTTTAACGACAGCACGAGCAATCGTTCTGTCTGAACTTCGAACGTAAAAGTAAAATAGAATAACGAAAGCTGTGGAGATGAGTTCGTACTATTTGTTTTTTTGTTTTTTTACAGAATGTTTTTTTTAAAAAAAACTTTGCCCCACACTAGGATTATCTCCTGTGTCGTGGGTGCGTTTACAAACATACAAGTTCAAGTCCAGTCCCGAAACATTTGGTTGATTGTAATCAATTGTTTATTACTTTGTAAGTACAGTTGCTTAGCAGGGATTTCGTAAAAAAGTTACAGGTATTAGTTAAGAACAATAACACATGCAATTCTGAGATTTTTGTATTTTTCAAATCGTTTTTAATAATAACTCGAAATCTGAAATTGCATCCAATAACAGCATAGATAATGTTACAAATTCAAAATATATATTTTTTTATTTACTTATTTATTTATTGTTTATTCAATAGGCTCACCCCCTATGGGACATATCACATGGGACTCATAACATAAATAGTGAAAAGAGGGTGTTCCTTGTTTCTCCTCAAATTCCTATTCCCCAAAGCGCTGGCAACGCACTTGTAACGCATTTGGTGTTGCATACGAAGTGCGCACGCACTGCTAAGGAGTGGAATTCTTTGCCAGAGTCTGTATTTCCTGAAGGGTATAACCTGGGTGTCTTCAAGGCCCGAGTGAATAGGTTGCTTATGGGACGACGTGGTCCATCGTAGACCGCATCATTGTGCACCACCAGGCGAGATAGTGGTCAAAGGTCGGCCCATCAAATATAGAGGTAGAATAAATACATCCTATTTTAAATTCAACAAAATCTAACTCATATTTCCTTAGCGACTCCACAGTTTTCTTTATCCCACAGTTCTCCAATACAGAATAGACTGTAATATTCTTGTTTTGATCGTAGATACAGCGTGTTCTGTTCCCATCCCCTCGTGTGTACAGTGTGTTTGTATATCTATACTAATCTATACTAATATTATAAAGAGGAAAGATTTGTATTTTTGTATGTTTGTAATGAATAAACTCAAAAACTACTGGACCGATTGCAATAATTTTTTCACCATTAGAAAGCTGCATTATTCAGAAGTAACATAGGCTATATAATATCACGCTAGGTCCTATAGTTGTGGAGCAGTAACCAAAAATGTTTTAAAAACGGCGGAAAAGTATCGTTTCTGAGGCCTTCCGTGGCGTGCGCTAAGCATATAGTTAAAGTTATACAAAAATGCTCTATAGATAAATTGTTCATAAATAAATGAAATAAGTAAATGAAGTCTGGAAAAATATTTTCAAAAGGTAAATACTTCCTAAATAAAAAAAAACTGAGAATAAATATAAATAAAACGTAAAACTATGTAAAAAATCTTAAGTCCCCCCGTGCGAAGCCGGGACGGGCCGCTAGTATTTTATAAGAATACTATATTTTTCCGTGTCTAACCGATCATGTGGAAGCACAGTGAAGTTATGTGTTTGTGATGTGTACTTCTGTATATTTTTACCTATATTACATAATACTGCCTCATTGGCCGATTGGTCGCAAGTGCGACTGCCGGCCAAGAGGTTTCAGGTTCGATTCACGGGTCGAGCAAAGCATTACTGGGTTTTAAAAAAATCTCAGAAGTAGCACGGAGTCTGGAAATGTGCCCGGTATATGGCAATAGGCTCACCCCCTATTACATGGGACTCATAATTATAGAGGTATAGTGAAAAGTGGGTGTTACATTGCACAGTGGCATTGCCGTAATATGCATCTCCGCCTATCCCTTCGGGGGTTAAAGCCGTGATATTATGTCATGAATTCATATAATTTTACAGAAAATTTAACTGAATTTCAGCCCTACGCTATAATTACCAAGTCTGTCATGAAGCCTTAGTATTGGAGCTGAAATGTCAAGGTTCCATTGTTTTGAAATGCCAACAAAAACATTATATTATTTTCTGTTATAAAACTAGGGACCCTTCTGTGAAAAGTCCCGACTTTCACTGTAAGTTATTATGTAACCGTAGCTTTTCTCTTGCGGCGTCGCCTGTGTATGCAAGCAAAAACAAATACGATTAAGGCCTAATCCTATGGCAATATTATTGTGATTCAAACTCGATAGTTGCACTGTACTATCGATTACAAGAATTGGGTATGAATGATAGGTCTTGCTGTGAATGGGAAGAGCAGCATTGTAGTATAAACGTGGGATATACAGCCTTGGCCAAAAGTATTAGGCACCCCCAATAAAGGTCCCGTGCACACGTGCTTTTTAAACAATAAGTTAATATTCTTTTGAAAGATCATCTCGGTGTCATAAACCGCTATTTAAGATATTGGGCGGCAATATTTGAGTGGTTGTATAACATCTGGTGCATCAATAACGAAATATATTCTAAGTGTGCATATATTCTAAGTGTGGGAGAACCATGCTTCGGCACGAACGGGCCCGCTTGATACGAATGATACCACGGCCGAGCAGAAAACCGACGTGAAACAACGCATGCGTTGTGTTAAGTCGTGTGTGATCCAATTCCCACCAAATTTTCGCCAATCTCCCCAATCCCTGAATCCCCAACAATCCTCAAATTCCTAATTCCCAAAAGGTCGGTAACGCTCGTAACGCCTCGGGTATTCCAGATGTCCATGTGCGACGCCGATTGCTTACCATCAGGTGATCTGTCAGCTCATTTACCGGCTTATACCAAAAAGAAAATTAAAGTATTCTTCTCAGCCTTTCAATGGTTAGCACACACACACACACCCTCGAAGGGGAAGGGGTGGTCGCGAGCGCGCGCCTATTGGCGCCCTGCGTTACGTTGCCACTACAGATAATAAAACCATAGACTAATCATAGACTAAACTTAGTTTTAGTCAAATTTCCGTGATTCTTTGTGCCTTTAGGCTTAATTCATTCTGTCTCCTGCAGTAATACACCGAGGGAAGTGGAGACTATCGTTTTTATCTTCTCCTCTTATAATATCTTCTGATTCACTTCGTTGCGGGAACCATAACAGTTACTCATGTCCCTGAGACGAGTCGGACTTCAGTGTTCCGGTGTTTTCATGGTTGTATCTACTGTAGATCCTGGCTTACTGACTTACTGGCTTAGGAAGTTGTGGCGGGCTTGTCCCATAAAAAAAGTAAAAAAGACTAATCATAGACTAGGTTGTGTTTATTTTTAAAACCCGCGTTACACCTATTCTTTAAAGAAAGTAATAAATAGAGGTAAATTTTTTTCTAAAACCTCAACAACTTTTGGCACCGCCCACCCACGTAGCTGGATCAGAACGATTCATCCACTATGGGTAAACATGCCATAATTTATGGGTACCCATAAAACGTCCGGTCTTTGTTAAGTGCACAATAACAGTTTGCTAAAACTTTTGGAGTTCTGGAAAGAATCCAGAATCTGGATTTGTAGATGGATGTTGTTTTTTTTTTGTGTTTTGTTTGATAGTGAGGCTAAAAGATTAGGTTATTTTTTAAGGAGTTTGAGTGTGTGGTTTTAATGGTATTCTAGATAGTGCTCCTCAATATGTATAACATAACATCACGCCTTTCATCCCCGAAGGAGCATAATGTAGAGGTTTCAATGCCACTGTGCAATGTAACACCCACTTTTCACTTTT